TTTATTTATTTGTTTGTTTGTTTGATTTAAGAATAGAATGCGAGATTTTCTATATCCCACGATTTTTATTATTATTATTATTATTACTATTATTATTATTATTATTATTATTATTATTATTATTATTATTATTATTATTATTATTATTATTATTATTATTATTATTATTCACGTACGACACCATAAAAGTAAGGTTTTTTTCGATAAAGAAAAAAAACCGAGAAACTCCTACAGCAACAATTTTCTCCACCCCCATACACACACTCGCCCTTCGATTTTTTCGTCGAAGAACGAATAATAAATTCTTCCATATTATTTTTATTGCTATTTTAATCCTCGTTAATATTATTATTATTTTTTTTTTGTGTATATAGATATATATATATGTATATTTTTATTTTATTTTTTATAAAGACGTGAGCGCTTTATTAACCCTTTGCTCTCGAGGCCTTTGTCGCTCGGTCCAATCCACAACTTCAAAGCAATCAGACGCTTACATTTATTTCATAAGTTTTCTAGACTTAACTTAAAATGATTTTAGAGACACAATAGAAAGCTTTAAACTTGTACATTTTAACATTATACATATTTTCATAATTCAATGAAAGATATTTTTTAAACATAACGTTCTATCATTTTGTTTCTTATGGTATTGTATAAAACAATATCCAATGTGCATTCTTGGCTTGTCGGGGTAAGTGTAACAGGTAGTACACAGTTTGTCACCTTTGGCTGGACGTTCGTTGGGAACAAACCTTGCAATCCTTTTTTTGTCCCATCAAAATAACATGCAGCTTTCCATTTAGTCGGATGCCTTCAGAACTGCTCTGCGAAGTACAAGCTGCAGTTTCCTGCGATCCTACTTGTCTTCCACCGAATACAAACGGTATTCTTGTGGGGATTTCTTTGGTTTCTGTGCACATTGTCCATTCTGAAGGGTTCAGTCTCTTCTGTACCAATCACTATGGCTTTCAGATTCATTATTGATTATTCGGATTTTTCGTCTTCTTACACCCCTAACGTCGTCGCTATCTTCATCACTTCCGTCTTCGTTCCCATGGACAAGCTGTTTATGTAGTGATGTAATTTCGCTCGTTATTGCCGAAAAATTGAACTCATCTTTACTAGAAGTCATTTCTTCATCGTGTTCCATGCTTATTGGGCTCAGTAACTTTGAGAGAAATATTGTGATTGCCAAGAAAGTTGAGTTCGAATTAATGTCGAAGGCAGAGTCCAGCTCGCGATTGCGAGTGTTTTGCGATATGACATCTTTGTAGCCATTGTGTACATTGTGACACCTTCATAAGATGACCTACAAAACCTAAATAAACACTGGTATTGCTCAGTTTACCACATCGATTGAAGTGGTGCCTGAGAGACACCGCTCGAGCGCAAAGGGTTAAATTTCTAATGATGCACAAGGATCTTTTTATTTAATAAAAGATTTTAATAAAAAGGTTGTGATATAGATATAACCATATGCAATTTAAGTATATATTTTTAATGTTGTATTATTTTTTTTTTGTTTTTTTTTTTTAATTTTGTCTTTCAATATTTTCTTTTTTAGATTAACTCAATTTCTTTTTAACACGTTCGTCGCCATGGCACCGTATACCGGAGACGGGCATGCTTCTCCGGGAGCCCCGTCACCATATACGGTGACACCCTTCTTGTTGAAGTTATAGTATTTTTAGTTGGAAAAACTTATCACATTTTTCTATTTCGAAACAAAATTATTTTCGGTAAATAAGAGATAGCTTTATATTTTATTATTATTGGTAAATAAACAATAGTTTTATATTTTATTATTTTCGGTAAATAAATAATATTTTTATTTTTTATTATTTTCGATAAATAAACAATAGTTTTATATTTTATTATTTTCGGTAATTAAACAATAGTTTTATATTTTATTATTTTCGATAAATAAAATATAATAATATAATATAACCATAATACTCGGGTTACATTGTTGAGATTTCTACTGATCGTTTCTTTACGTTACGGCGCGCCAACACTCGAATTTTGGGCCTGGCGAGAAACTCAACCGAAACGGGCTTGGGCGACGAACGTGTAAAAAAGTCGAATTTATATTTTATTATTTTCGATAAATAAAATATAATAATATAATATAACCATAATACTCGGGTTACATTGTTGAGATTTCTACTGATCGTTTCTTNAAGAGAAGAAAATGAAAATCAAGTTATAAATTTCATGTATATCTATAAATATATATATATATATTCAAAAAAAAAATAAGGTTACTTTAAAACAAAGGACATATTCAAAGTTGTCTAGTCGTATAATAATTCAACACATATACATACATACATACATACATACAACATGCATCTATAATTCATCAACTTGTTCATAATTAACTTTTTCATTCTCGCGTTAATCATTATTTCCAAGTATTATTATTATTGTACGCGAATCGTATAAAACAGCAACAATAACAACGACAACAAAGTAAAATGTTAATTAACGTTTTTTATTTTTTATTTTTTATTTTTTTATTTTTTTTACTTTTCTTCAATCGAAACAACATTTTCATAAATCAAATTATATGACACTTCACTCATTTCTTTTCTATCTATTTTTCATCCTAATTCACTGTCTAATTTTTACTTATTTTTATTTTATTTTTTTTTTTTTTTAATTTTTTTTTTTAACATGTTGTATAAATATTTGCATGATTAATAATATTCTACTCGCTATTTCTTTCTCTTTCTCTTTAGTAGAAACATTTGAAATATTTCATTCTATCATCCTCTGCTTTTTTGAATTACTCGTCATTCATCATTCATACGAATTAATTTAAACAATACAAATATACCTTGAAGAAGAAAAAATGATAAAATAAAACAATATAAGAAATTAGACTTATACAGGGTGTCCTTGTGGTATACAAACGAACAGGTAATGATTCCATATACAAGAACAATAATATAATTCACAGAATATTGTAGAATCAAATTTTGTTCGTGTAAAATATTGTTTATAATAATGATAAGTTTTTGAAAATTTGTTGAGTATTAATCCACTTGATCGAGAGATTGCAACCCTGGAAACTAAAAGCTTTCCTTAGATAAGTATAAAAACCTTTACAAGTGATTTTCAACATACTTGTAAAATATTTAAAAACACACACACACACCTGTATGTGTAGACAGAAATGATGATCTTTAAAATACTACACATTTTTCTTAAAAAATAAAATTAAATTCAACTCACTTCTACTACTCAACAAACCTTTTAATTTATTTTACTTTAAAAAACAAACAATAATTCAATCCTTGTACGCGAACAAATTTAATTTTATATTATTAAATTTTTCTATATAGAATCATTCCTTGGTCAATTTGTATAACCAGTAACAAGACACACACCAACCCTTTTATTTAAATATTATAAACATTACATTATCCAATATTATAAAATGTTAAATTCTGAAGTTTCCCTTCTTACGCAAACCCTAAACCCCGTTCAACCAACCCCTCGTCTGCAAGTTCCTACTATCCAGGTAAAGAATACAAAATTACCTGCCCGTGTCCTTATTTATTATTACCAACACCCCCTACCCTCTAAAACCTTTCTTGCAACAAATTTACAGCCCCCTTTTTTGTATCTCTCAGGGATGATGTTGTCTAAAAGCTGTTGTTTTGTATATTTGTAAAAGTACATTTTAAAATAGTAATTTGTTGTTTCTACTTAATACGATAGTAAGGAAAAGTAATAAAAAAAATATATATTTAGTAAAATAGTAAACTAGTAAAATAGAAATGTAATGAAATAAAAAGGTATCTCGTTTTCACCATAGTTACGCATAATTCGCGTTTCTCTAAAGAAGAAAGTAAAATTGCTTTGCTAGACGGGACCAGCAAAGCGTTACTTTGAAAACTCTCTCCTTGTGAATATAATTATGATCGTCATGATCTAAAGAAAACCATAAACATTTTTTTTTTTAACTCATCGAAAACGAATCGACGAAAAAAAAACAATATATTATTTCTTTTTATTTGTTTATTAAATAATTCGTTCCCTTGTAATCCTCGTATTATTTCATTTTGATTTGATTTGATTTGATTTCATTTCATTTCATTTAGTTGTTGTTGGGTAACGTTTAATATCAGTAGTATAGAATAATTATTTCAATAAAATTGTATAAATGTATATATAAATGTGTATATATATATATATATGTGAATTATAATAATAATCGATCGTCGATTCGATTTTCGCGAATCTCGCTCGAAAATAATATTAGTTAGTGTTCATTTTTATTTAAAAAAAAAAAAAAACAAATAATCAAACGTGCACATTGAGTCATACTAATCGTTTAGATAAGTGTTAAGAATAATTATGATAGTGGATTTAATTGAAGAGAAACAAATAAAATTATTGTATAACTAAATTAATATTTAAACCACTATCATAATTATCAACACACATGTATATTCTATTTATTATAGTAAATATACCTAATGATTTTCAATGTAATCCCTCACTACCAAAAACATGAATGAATGAATTGATTAAAATATAAAATATGAGAATAAAAGTGAGAGAGAAAGAGAGAAAGAGAGAATGTAAAATACCAAGAAAACAAAAATCTTAGAAAGTGTCGGGATCTAAATTTCGGATTTTCGAGGGTCGTAGGACGAAATAAAACAAACCTAAAAAAAACAAAAGAAACGAGCGAGCAAAAGGAAAAAAAGAGAGAGAGAGATAAAAAGAGAAAAATGGATTGCAATTATTCCATTTTTCTCTTGAAAAACAATTTTTAAAAAATTACTTTTGAAAATGAATATTTTCAAAAAGAGTTTCTCGATGAGTTTTTATCGGTGTCTTCGTGAGGCTTCAAAAGCAAGCTGCAACCCCCTACACCACTCCCCAAAGTGTCCCCCGAATTTTATCAATGTGATCCAGAATTTATTAAAAAAACTTCAAACAATTTTGTTGTTGAGCGAAAGGTTTCTCAATCGTTGTTTCAGATGGGCAAACTTGGCAGTAACCCATTGGCTGGTTTAGCAGCTTTGGGACTTGGTAGTCTTGCCACTCCTGCGAACACTGGTGGAATTAACCCAGCAGGTAAAATATTAAAAAAAAAATAAGAACTATTATTCATTATACAAAATTAGGTTATTGTAAGGTAAAACAAATGCAAAAAAAAAAGGTTCCGTTCACAACCCCAATATTAATTGATTTATTAAAATAATGTTTATGATCAATTGTATTCTCATTTAGATACATTTCACACGGTGTTTTCTTTTCTCAGGATATTTTCTACTCAACATCTTGGATACAATTTTCACTGTTTCCTTAATTTCCGTACCCCTCACCCCTTTTACAATTAGAAAATTACCCTGAAATGTATAAAAGAGAAAAAACAACAAAATCATAAACCCCCTCCAATCCCAAATAAAGATTGTACATATATAGAAAAATATGTATATAAATAATAATTATTGTTAACCTCAAAGAATGTTTTAATCTTGATTATTCAAATCATTGTGTTTTAATTTATCTAGCATTGGCTGCATTAGCTGGTAGCCAATTACGTACGAACAACACGAACAGGCAACAACCAGCGGCAAACAATCAGACGCACGAGATGACGGTGCCGAACGAATTGATTGGATGTATCATCGGCAAGGGTGGTACCAAGATCGCTGAGATACGTCAGATATCTGGTGCCATGATAAGAATAAGCAACTGCGAGGAGAGAGAGGGTGGTGCCACGGATCGTACGATCACCATTACAGGAAATCCGGATGCCGTTGCGTTGGCACAATATCTCATCAATATGAGGTGAGTCCTAATACTAACTTAGGCACCAACACATATTTATGCCCAAGTATAATTCAATCGATTATAACGTTCAACAGAAACCCCCCAACCAACCCCCACAATACCCCGCCCAGCCCCACTTGTTTTTTCTTCTTTTTTTTATATTTTTTTTTAAGGGCCCTACACCCAACGCCCCTGACACCCTGCCCCAAAAGAAAAAAACCCCTGGTTTCACTTCTTTAACACATCCCCTCTATTTTTTTTTTTTTTAATATATGAACTTCTCCTAACTCTTCAAGGGTTTATCTTTGAAGAATAAGAAATATTTGATATTAAATATGTATATATCAGGATTGGAAAAAATTCTGATATAGTTCTTTTCTTTTTTTTTTTTTTTTTTTAACTAATTAGGCTGTGTGACGAGGAAAACAAGTTTTCGGAATTTTTAATTCATCCGCGAACTTTGTTTCCTGTCCGTCATTTTTGTTTGTCTTTCACCCTAATTTTATTTTACGCACGCGTATATAATATAATATTATCGTAACGAGATACAGAGGGAGAAAATAAAAGTACAAACTCAACCCTCCCATCCCCCGTTGTCGAAGATAAAAAAAAAACCACAGTCGAACTCGTGTCCCGGCTACGTTTCGCGGTGGATTTAGCGGTAAAATGCCATTTGTTATGTTATATATTGTTTTTTTTATATATATATAACAATTATATTATTCTATAATATGATCTAACACGCACAAAATACTAATTAATATATATATAGAAATATTTTTAATATAAATGTAATCGGCACCAACAAACATTCTCCTCAGGGTCTTCTTCTTCTTCTTTCTATTTTATTTTATTTTTTTATTTTGTTTTTTATTTTTTTCTGTTTTTTTTTTTTTTTTTTTTTTTTTTTTTTTTTTAATTTTTTAATCAATCGCGTTTTATTAATTCTTTCTTTCTCATCTTTAAAATAGAAATTCATTCAGAGATACGAAGATTATTGTATGTTCTATCGATCATACGATTTTTATTTTGTATTTGATTTCTTATTGGTGTTTTATTAAATTATTCTTTTTTTTATTTTTCTTTTTTTTATTGTGATCGTATCAAATCATCGACGACGCTACACGATCGACGCTGTTAATCGAAAAAGAAAAAAAAACACGAAACCGCTAAGTCTACCACCACGAGAATAGAAAAAAAATCAATTACAGTAATTTTTTGGCAATGATTTTTTGAATTATTTTTTGTTTTTTTTTTTTTTTTGTTTCGATAATTGTCGTCGAACGACGCGTCGTCGAAACGATATAATACACTACGAGAAAAATTTTGGTCAATATGTTTTAACAGCAGCCTGACGCAAATAGTCTGATCCCAAATTCATTTTCAAAATAAATCACAAACAAAAATTTAGTAAGTTAATGAACAAACCAGAAAAACAAAGTAGGAGGAGATTACTGTTCGCGTCAGACTAAAAATTGTTTTTGTTTTTTGCTTTTTTTTAAATTTTTTTTTTATTATTATTATTATTATTTTTTGTTAAAAGATCAGAGGAATAAGACAGGTGAGATACGAGAGTATTAGGTGGAGAAAGATGTTTTTTTGAAGTGTAGTTTTTAAATTAACACGTTCCGTTCCGTATTGGGTCGCATACTTGTATCCTAATTTGAAAAACTTATCATTCTTACCATTTTGAAAAAAATATATAGTAGCTTTTGTATAACATTAGTGAGAAGATAGGTGGTCGTATTCGACCCATACGACTTAAAAAAACAGAATCTTCATTGAAGAATCAAGTTCAGGTACGGAACGTGTTAAACAGTAACGTACCAACAGTATGGGAGAAAAAGAAAAATGAGAGAGAGAGAGAGAGAGAAGACATCGTACGAGAGGGGTCGTTCAACATATTCAGCAACAGGGATGATAATGATGGTGATGACAATAATGATGATGATGAGAGAGAGAGAGTGCAAGTGAAAGTGAGCGAATGTTTAATTGGTGAGAGAAAGAGAGAGAGAGAAAGATAATTGGAAGGAGAGAAAAAAAACCACCTCCGCATTAGCAGCATCTTCGGAACGTGACAACGACACCACCATGAACCAACGATTTTTAACAACAACACACACCAATAATAACGCCGAGGAGGAGAACGAGGAGATTGTGCAGAAAGGAGGGGAGTTGAGGAGGAGGAGGAGGAGAAGAAGGTGTGGAGGAGGAGAAGGAGAGGAGGAGGAGAGAAAGAAGGGTGTCTCTTAATCCTTTGTTTCCAGGTCCTGCCTTCCAGGTCCAGTACCTTGAGTATCCTGCAGACACACACAAATCTCCGTTTTTTTCAACATCTGTTCCCAATTGTCGCTGGCTGTCCTTTTCAAATAGCAATCAAATTATAAAAGAAAAGAAAGAAAGATATAGAGAAAAAAAATTAATTAATTAATTAATTAATATATATATTTATATATTTTATTTCACACTTAAATAATGTGAAATAATACCGAGCAGGTCGTTCCTTCGTTACCGACTACTGATAAAAAAGAAAAAAAAACATCCTTTTCGCAAGTCCCAAGCAAGCGGTGACGACACACATTACACACATATATATATAAATCTTCCTTCCTTTTTTTAATCAACGATTTTATGATAGCTAGTATTTTTTCTTTTTTTTGTTCACACACTTATATACAGTTAGTTATTTGTATATCGAAATTTTCTCTCGTGTTAAAACGATTAAATTTCATTTTAGATTTTTAATTTTTTTTTTTTAATTAATTAATTTATTTATTTATTTATTTATTTGATTTTTTTATTATTATTATTCGGGATAAGAGTAATTTAAGGAATTCTGTGCATTAAAAAATAAACGTTGCTAAATATTAACGCAAATTACGCACGCACGCAAATAGCACGCAGAGAGGAAGAGAAAGAAAGAGAGAGAGGGACACACACATAAACACACGCGTTTTCCCATGTCGTTGACGTTTTATCGCTTTTTTTTTTTTTTTTTTTTTATTTAAATTTGTATCAAACACTTCCTTAATTTTTTAATACGCTTATCCTCGCTGTTTATCATCGCTTTTTTATTCTATATACGCCGAAAAACTACACCGTACGCTCACAAACGTGTTTTTATAGTTTATTTTTTTTTTCTAGATCCTTCCTGCTTTTTTCATTTTTATTTTTGAAAAAACAATTTTGTTTATTTATTTTTTTTTTGTGTTTTTAAATACATAAATATATCTCTCGTCGTTTGCATTTAAATATTATACAATAATAGTTGTCTCTGTGTTTGTTGATTAATCGGAGCTATGGGACTAACCTAAAAACAACGTTAGATATACATATATATATATATATATATATATATTTTAATTTATTTATATAAATATATATGTATATCTCGGCGACGTTAGAACGATCAAAGGTGTGTAGTTATAATCACTAACGCGTTAATACTAATCATCAATGATAATAATGATGATGATGATGATGGTGATGACGAGAGACAGCAAGAAAGAAAATCAAAATAAAAAAAAAATGGCCGATCATCCGATCGGTTCGCGTTCATTACACGCGAGATTTCCCTATGTTGCATATTACTTGCATAACTCGGGAGCATAATAATAATAAAAAAAAAAGGAATTAAAAAAATAAATTAAAACATATAATATTACATGCCAACACAAACCTTGCTCTCACCGTTTATATAATTATAATCCAATTTATATTTTATATTCCAGATTGTGTCTCACTCGCATTTTTTAGCTACTGCATTTAACAATTAAATGTGTATATACGATAATAATAGCTGCCGGAGTTAAAAGATTATATTAATCAGTGGTTATGTTAATTTTTTTTTTTTTTTTTTTTTACTATGCTACTACATACTCGTCGTCTCTCTTTTATCGTTCATCATAATATTTAATTATACACATATACGTATGATGTGTTATTTCATTTGCAAAATATATTTTTTGCATAAAACATACATATATGTGTATTTTTGGATCTTCCTTGGGCACTCCGTCGCGTGGTGTCGCCATCGTCGCTCCGATCAGTCGGCCATTTTGTCGTTTGAACGTTTAAAAAAGAAAAATTGCTTTTGAGATTTTAAACGAATATCCATTCGAAATATTTTATACGTGTGTCGGAGCTTCGAATAAGTTTTCAACCACGCGATTTAAAARAAAAAAAAATATACATCCTTTTTTAATTTTCAACATCCCTCGTAAAAAGAAACAAAAGATATTTCCGAGGGATTTGCAAGGATCTCTGAGAGACGAATTTTTAAATATTTTTTAACATTTATGTTATTTGAAAAAAAAAAAAAAAAGGGAAAGTCTCGTTCGTAAAAGATAAAAAAAAAAGTCAACTATTTTTTTAAATACTTCCTTTTTGATCTTTCGTGTATGGTACACGAATATTTTTTCGAAGTCGTTCGTCCTTGCTCTAGCCCTCGGAAAAAAAAGAAGAAAAAAAGAAAAGAGATGGAGAGAGAAAGAGAGAGAGAGACGAGTACACGTAGTCGAAATATTGAGCTCTCGTACTCGTGTCTCTTTTCAATATATCCGCCATTTTGCACAGCATCTCTCGCAACGCGTGTCTCGTTCAGCTGCGACCGTTCGATATTATTTTTTTTTTTCTTTTTGTTTTAAATAGCTTTTTTTTTTCTTTTCTTTGTGTCTTATATTCTTTTTTTTTTTGGTTATGTTAGACCACATAAAACATTCATTGAATGAAGAAAATGAAAACTTTAGGGTGCTTTCTTATCTCTAGCCTCCTCGTATTTTTATTTTAATCCATACTTTTGTCTAATAATTCAAATTAACGTTGTAAAGCTTTAAATATTATATTCTTTTGTTACTATACTCACATTTATAATTTATAATAATAATGCATAAACTATCGCGCTGACATTAATTGGTAGAGAATGGAAATTAACAAAAAAGGGTTGAAAAGTTTTTCTATGTCCAGTGGAACGAGAGTACGTTAGCGAAAGACTTTTGAATGAACGAATAAAAATGGAATGAAAAGGAAAAGTACGTGTGTGTGAGAGAAAGAGAGAAAGAAAGAAAGTAAAGGTGAGAATGAGAGAGAGAGAGATATATATATATAGAGAGAGAGAGATAAATAGAAAAAGAAAAAAAAGAAAAAAAAAAGAAAAATTATTAAAAATTCCCCATGACCTCTACCACACACGTAGCCGGCGTACGTGAATGTCACGCTGCATATAGTGCACCTTTTGCGCATTTATATATATATAGCTCTTAGCCTTTTATTATTATTTTATTTTTATTTTTATTTATTGTTTGATTTTTTTTTTTTTTTTTTTTTTAATGGAAAAAGAAAAGATAGCGAGAGAGAGAGAGAGAACTATTGCAATTTATTGTTTAAACTTTTCTTTATATTACTACTCGTTCTTAAATAATAATTTCACTTGTTTCAATTTCTTCGCCCCCACCCTTGTTTTTTTTCTTTCTTTTTATTTTTCAAATCTTTTTATTATTACAAATCGTAGCTTTTTAATTTCTTTTGTTTTTTGTTTTGTTTAAACAATCTCGCTCGGATCATGTACATACTTTCGCTGGCCTCTCCATCCTGTTCGTATTAAAAAAAAAAAAAAAAAAAACAACAACAAATTAAAAATGTTAATACTTTCCTTGTTCATCTCCTTGTTTTTTTTTCTTTTTTTTACAATAATATTTTATGTATTTTATAAAGGACTCGATCGATCGCAGCAAAGCTTGTGTACGTGTCCCGAGCGAATCTCTTCCGCTGTCTTAATATTTCCTTTTAATTAATTAATCCCTAATCTCCGTATCTCTTCTTTATATATGCATATATATATATATATATATATATATATATGCATGTTTATATATCCTATCTTGTCTTGCATATTACTACTCGCAATCTTGCAACCTGTTTTTAATCTCGATCGACCCCCCAGCCAACCCCACAAAAAAACCCCTCTTCACAAACCCCCTTTTTTTGAATTACCTATCGAAAATCTCCAGAAAAGAAAAAAAAAGAAAGAAGAAATCAAAAGCAAAAAAAAAAAGAAATGGCACCGCTAAAATTATATATACATTTATATATATGTATATCAATTATCATACTCTTCTTCCAATCAATATTTATTTATTCATTTATTTTTTTTTCTTTCTTTATATTAATTCTGATTATTATTATTATTTATTTAAAAAAAAATGAAAGAATTATATTTATTTTCTATTTTTTTTTTTTTTAATGACAAGATAAAAGAAAAAAAAAATGCTGTAAAGAAAAAAAAAGACCGAGAAAAAAAAACACGTCATCATTAAAATTTCCCGCCCTCATCACCTTTTTTACATTTTGTGTCTTTTCCCCAGTGTCGAACTGCAGAAAGCTAACCTAGAGGCCCAAAATACCCAAACCCCTGGCAGCGGTACCACTCCCGGGGCATCCGGGGCCAGTGCTTCCCCTTCTACTACCACTACCACTGCCTCTCCCTTGGCCAGCGCCATCCCCTTGGCTCAGCTGCTAAGCAAGCCAGGAGCCCTGAACGCCCTATCCAGCCTGACCGCCCTTGGCGGACTCACGGAATTGCTAGGTGGCGCTGCTGGCGCCGCCGCCTCGGCGCTACCTGTACAGACGACAGGTGTTCACCGATCGCATAAGGCATTCACGCCGAGGATGCGCAGCCCGGGTGCGCCCGGACCAACCGACAGCGGCAAATTCAAATCAGAGCGCACCAAATACAACCCGTACTGAGTGGCTGCTAACGAAGATCGCCAAAGGAGTGACGATGACCTCGCGGGAATCTAATTTTTTTTTTCTTCATCGCGCGTTCTCATCTTTAATATGTTATACGAAAGAAAGAAATGGAGAGAGTGAGAGAGAGAGAGAGAGAGAGAGAGTGTGAAAAAAAGGATGATAAAAGAAAATCCGGCAAATAAACAAACATACAAATTAAAACACATATTTATATATATACATATATGTATATATATGTGTGCTTACGCTCATGTATATATATATGTATATGTATGTATATATGTATATTATATCCCACGTGTGCACGGATAATTATGCTACTGACTTCAATTGAGTGGACTTAACACGTATATATATATACACCAGACACAAACACATACATACACACATGTAGGACATGTTTAACGCATATACATAATATTAGCACATACCTTTTATTACTACTTTTAATACTACTCTTAATCATCATTATGATTTATTGATTATTATTATTACTATTACTATTATTATAATAATGAATTATGATTATAATTACTATACATTTACTATTATCAATGCTATTGTAATAATTATTATCAATCATTTATTATTATTATTATTAGTACTATGCAAAGGGATGAATCGTAGTATAAAAAAAAAAAAAAGAAAAAAAGGAAAAAAAAATAATAAGAAAACTAATTATAACGGACGCCAGGGTAGCGGCAAAACCCGAACAAAGACTCGATCGTTAATCGCCAATAATATTTGAGGTTATGATTTCCTTCCTTCCTTTCCCTCACCCATATTTTCCTTTTCTTTATTTCTCTATTATCCTTGTTATTTTTTTTTTAGAGATGTGTTTAAAGTAATAAATTAAAATAAAATCAAATGTAACCAAAATGGCCGATTTACCAGCGAGTCTTTCAAAAGCCTTTAGAAAACCCGATCACGTGTCTCTATTCTCCGAGCAGACATTTTTGTAAAAATTTAATTAGAACTTTTTTAGGTTTTTTTTTTCCTTTATTTTATAATTATTATTATTTTTTATTCTGCTTCCTTAACCAAATAAGAAAGAAAAACAGAATTTGTACAGAGTAGTCTTCCTTCTTTCCTTCCTTATTTTTTCCTACCTAACCTAAAATTTCCTTCGATGCGATAAAAATATATTCTCGATTTTTTTGATATTTATTTTTTCTACTACTTTTTTTTCTTCTTTTTTTCTTTTTCTTTTTCATCGAAATAATATTCTCAAATATGTGTTTATTATACAAGAATATAATAATAATAAAAAATAATAATATTACGTGATTTAATCTCTATTAATCTTTTTTTTTTTTATATTCAATCCTTTTCTCTGATTTTTTTTTTATTTGTTGTTGTTGTTGCGTAAGTAGTTTTACTTATACTTGTCTCTTTTTTTTTTCTTCCAATATACTTTTGATCTTTGTTTTCAGTAGTTGCTCGGAGATTGAGTCCGAGATCGCAACTACCGTTTGCGAAAAGAGATAAATAGCATTTTATATTCATATATGTATGTACTATGTGTATATATATGTATATATATATCTATACATATTATACAGGATGTTTCAAATATTTTTTCTGACGAACAAATGTTATAAGAGTATTTTCTATGCTCAAAAATATTCAAAAGTTATAACATTAATTATAAAACTGTGTCTTAAATGTTTTGAATGTGTAATCATTTATGAATTTCATTAATAATGATTTGAATATTTTAAATTTTTTTCATAAATAAATTTAAAAAAATTATTTATTTATATTTATATAATATTATTTAGATAATAATAAGTTATATCATTCAAAGATAATAAACAGAACATCCTTTTTGTGATTTGACCACCACATTTAAACAGTTTTACAATTTATATTATACTTTTGAATAAAACGTATAATATATGAACTATATGATGAACACACACACATGAACTAATGTGTTTATGGAAGATTTTATTTATTTTTTTTCTTATTATCTTTGGCTTTAGTTTTTCTAATTTTTGTGTAATAAGAAAATACGTTTACAAATTTAGTAAGAAAAAAGAAATTTGAACACTCTGGATATATATATGTATATACACATAGTATTTATGGAACAGGTACACGTTCTTATATAAGCGTAATTCTAATTACAATTATGTATTAATTAATATCGATTGGCGTGTTTTACGCAAGAACTTTTACCTAGAATCAAGCATTATGGTTAGAATCCAATGTAATTTTGTCTTTTAGATATTAGAAGACTATTTTATCTTGTGAAAGATAAAACAAAATAAGAGTATGAGAGATAGAGAGAGAATGAGAAAAAGAGAAAACATGAAAGAACGAAAGTTAATAATAATAATAAAAAAAAAAAAACATGAGTTATTTCCATGAATTCGTATGAAAGAGGAAAGAATGAAAGAAGAAAAAAAATGATGATTTTTTTTTTGTCATCTATGTTTAAATTTATTATATATATATATATTTTGTTTTCTTTTCAATTTTATTATTCTTTATTTTCCGATAGTTTTTCTTTTGTTTTATTTTTTGTTTTCTTTTCTTTTCTTTTTTCTCTCTTTGTAATCATGCTTTCTATACTTGATATCAAATATTTCATAAGAAAAATCAACCACCAGAAATGATGATAATGATGATGATAATAAATAAATATCCTTGATAATCATAATAATCATGTGTAAAATTAATCAGTAGGGTTTTAACTATTGTAAATTTATTAATTGTGTTGAAAAACGATATGTAAAAAATTCATCATGATAACAAAACACATTTTACAATATAAAATTAAAAATAATCATTTTTTTTTTTTTTTGATCAAAAGTAAAGTGTGAAGAAAATAAATTCAATTTTTTTTAAAAGCTTATTATTATTATTATTATTTTTATTATTATTACGTTTACTCGTATGATGAATCAATGAATAATAATAATAATGTCGGTGAATAATGTAAGAAAAAAAAAGAGAGAGAGAGAGAGAATGAAACAACAATCAATAAATTTAGACGCTTAGTGGTCATAATATTGTAACAATAATGATTATGTATTATTAGGAAGAAACAAAAAAAATATAATTATAAGTGCTCTCGCGAAAATGCGCAAATCAGAGACCACATACACATACACTCGAAACACGGCATATATACATACATACATATATATATTATTTAGTATACTATAACTATAGTATACTATTATTATTATTAGTATACTATACTATATTATTACTATTTAGTATACTATTATATTTGGTAACCCCCATCATTTTATCAGAGCAACTCAATTATTTTTACAACCCTTAATATAAAATACTATACTTGTAGTGTTGCCAAATATTATTTTGAATTATTTTTCAATAATAACAAGTCCAGACATTTTTCTATTTTGCTTTAAATTATTGCAACCCTTAAATTAAGTCGTGTGACTTCAAACAGGGTTACATGTTATACCTTTGAGAACTCTTGTAATAATTATTTTATTATATATATATAGATGTATGTATATCTCAATAACAAAAATCATAATAATTATATTATGTAAGTGTTTCTTTTTTTATGAGAGGGGAAATTAAAAAACATAGACAGAAATATAATATGACAGAATGAAATTTAAATATATTGTTCTTGTCGAGATAAAAAAAGAAAAAGAAAAAGTATAAGAAAAATGTCGTCACGAATGACCACGCACGATAATTATCAGAACCACTCTCTTCATTATGTTTAATTGTCGTGTAGTATTAATTAACAAGATTAAGAGTGTGTGTGTGTGTGTGTTCGTTCATACGTAGGTGCCGTGTGATTTAAATGTGTACTCGAATTTTATTATACATTATAACGTATATTAAAGTGAAAAGTGATCCATTGATCAAATTTGGATCACACCCCCCTCGCCCCCGTGAATAAAAAAAAATAAAATTAAGACGAAAAATCAAGATTAGATTTAAAAAACAAAACAAAAAATAAACCACAAAGAAAAAAGGTAAAAATAATAATAAAAATAAAAAACCTTTGTAAAATCGTGATCGACTGATAACGATAATTTCTATATATACATACATACATATACATATTGTGTATATATATGGATACGTATATAATATACATACATATTTATATATATATACGTGCGTCTCTGATAATGTATGTTGCGCGTGCATGTGTGTGGTGTATGTGTGTAATGTGGATGGTGAAAGTGATTCGCCTCGGGGGTTGAAGGAACAAAAAGAACAAAAAAAATATACACGTTTAAAATTTAAAAGAAAAAAAAAATAAGAAATACCAGGAAAAAAAAATGCGAGAGAAAAAGAAAAACCTCACACGATTTTCACGGATAATATTCACTTTTTTCTAAAATCTCTTACAAAAGAAAACTTCGTCGCGTCACAGATTGTTTTCTTCTTTGATCTTTAAGAAAAAGAAATTAAAGAAAAAAAGAAAAAAAAAAACAGAAAAAAAATAAACAGGAAAAAGAAAAAAAATAACACCGCAAGGTTAATAATTATTATTATTCAAGTAGTTCACGATTATTCACGGATCATAAATAGCACGTTTTTTCCTAGACATCTGTAGGAAATAGTAAAGAGAAAATACAAAAAAAAAAAAAAGAAATATAATAAAAAAAAAAAGAAAAAAACGAATGGAAACCGTTATTCTTTAGAAGTAAAATCTCGCGAAAGTGAAATAAATCATTTAGTGTTCGAATGTGTATATCAAGTCTGTCATTTAATAATAATAAAAATAAAAAGTAAAAAAAAAAAAGGAAAGAATTAAAATAAACACAAAAAAAGATAATAATAATTAAGGATTACAAGAATAATAATAGTAATAATAATAATAATAATTATTATAATAATAATACAACCAACAACCACCAACAAGATCAATTTACACAAATACAAAACATCATCGATGGAAAATAATTAAAAAATAAAAAACTTAAAAAAAAAAAAGAAAAAAAATGCAAGATGTCGCGAAGCTGTGTACGAAACCCGTGCGCGCTTTAAAAAATTAAATGCATAATCGCAAATTGATGGATTAAAAATTACCAAATAACGATTCTTCTGTATACTTGGCTTATAAAAAAAAAAAAAAAAATAAACAATACACAGAATATCTTTAATTATCCTGTATAATCTTGTTAAATAAAATTTAGGCG